CCCTTTTGCGAAATTCCCTTGTTTCCTTACCTTGGAAATTACACAGAACGGAAATTGCTCAGGACTGTGATTTTACTGTTTTAATTCGAGGAATGTCGCGAAAATAGAGGGACACGCTTGATTTTACAGAGTTATATAAAAATTACTTGATTAAATTAATTTTGTATCCATTAAATTTCTGCAATTTTAATATAATATTTTTACACGATTATTACAACGTGTAATATTTCAAACGATCGATCTTTCGCGTGAAACCCCTCGCTTTTAAAATTAAAAATTTTTTTAACGAGTGGTTTGGAAGATCGATCGTTAAGATAATTAAGATACAGCAGGAATTCGTTTTTCAATGTTCACACGGTTGCTATATTACGAGCCACTCCACATTTTTTTTTTTTCGAAGCTACACTTGAACCGCGAGCATAATACACAAATATTACAATGTAATAAAAAATGGATTAACACAGGCTTTCAAATCGCTTCGAAAATAATTGAAACGCGAGGTATTCATTCGAAAGAGTTATCAGCAGCTCCACTACGAAATCGTAATAACCAATTGAGAGATACGATAGGATTTCGTTTTTCGACATTCAGTTGCTATATTACGGTCCTCTTCATACATGTGCATTTTTGTTTTCCTTCCAAAGCTGAACCACGAACGTAATATTACAATGTAATAAAACAAAAAAAAAGAAAAACAGTTCGATATAGACTTTCGAATCACTTCGGACATGATTGGAACGCGAGGTATATTCGTACTGGCGTGTTCGAAGGAGTAACCGATTGCGTCGCTATAAAATCGTAATAGCCAATTGAGAGAGGTACTCGACGAAAAATATTTTCCGCAATCGCGTAAACAACGAAGCACCGCTCACAGACGAGTACGCATTCGACGCACAAAGACGGCCGAGTGTGTCGATAAAATCTGACTCCGGTGTGCTTGAAAAACGCAAATATCGGGAGCGGAGTGTGGAGCAACAAAACGGCTATCACGTGTCGACTCTAATATTGACTGCATCGTAGCTGCAAGTTGCGGAGCGATACGTTAACCGAATGTAGGACGCCGCTTTAACGGACGGTTGAATGTTAGTTGGTGGAACATCGTGTCGGGGCCTTGCCCAAACACTCGGCCCGCCAGATGTTTAGCTTGCCGGGTATTCTGTTTACGTAGCTTAATCGAAAAATCATAAGTGCGGGCGATATCGCGCAGACGTACGACTATTATACGACGGTGTACTCCGTGGAAGCGGAACGTTGCCGGAAGCGAAATGCGCCGCCGACCTCCGGCCCCCATTTATTTGCGAATTTCATAATGGCCGCTTCGACGCGAGAAAGCGCGGAGAACATGCGTTGTGCTCCCCGTCTGTGTATTATTTCGCGGCAAAACAGGGCGAAAATTAAGGGCGATACGAGAAAGTCTTCCTGCGGGAGACGGGTCGTGCGCAATAATTCGACTGTTCCTCTTAAACTGCAATATTTGGCTAATTTCTGTAGCGCGAAGCGAAAGACGTCGCCACGTCGCTCTCACGCGTACTCCTTTTTGTTTAGAACGCTCTTTGTCATCGAAATCGGGTGATTCGCACGGGTGATAAATTTATACAACGTGATCAATAAGCGTTACTCGTAATAGCGTGTCGCGAAATGTTATTATAGAAAATCCTGTTAGCGCATACCGGGATAATTGCGAACTTGACGCGATATCCAGATAATTTAATTCGACACGCGATATTGAATATATTGTATGTGCATACAGGTATACGCGCGATCTTCCGCGGGCGTGTTAGATTGTACACGTCGCAGCTCAGAACCGTCCCCGGAGATTCATTCCAACTACTGATAGCGGGGGCATAGCTGGTAGTGACACCAATCAATGTACACTCGTGTATAACACGAGAGCGTTTAGCCATCCGCAGGCTACGGATTTAGATAGGGTTAGCTATGAAGAGGGAAATCTAGTTGCTTGGGTCCCTAATTATCCCGAGATCGACTCGCTGCGGGTGAACAGGTATAAACAGTGGCTCTCAGCTAAACGATGATCAAAGTGCTTCGTATATATCGCTCGGGATGAAATGCAAATTTTACGGTAGACGATTGCACATTGACGTTTATTACAGAATTGTTGACTCGTAAATTGGTAGACTCGACGAAGACAAATTTAGAACGTTTTAAAATGTTGATCCATTTTCAAATGTCACGAAAGTAAGATATGAAGAAAAGAAAAACAATAACCGTTGGTAAGTTTAGTTGGAGGAATTTAGAAAGGTTATTTCCATTCGTCCCCCTCTCTCCATCTTTCCGCGCTCGTCGTACTCGAGGTTTACTTTATACATGCTCGCTATCAATCACGTCACTTTCATGCAACCATATTGACCGTGGTCATTAATCTCATTTCAAGCGCTCGTTGGCATCGATCGTAAGTACCGATATCATGCGTTCCCGGTTTAAATATGAAAATGTAAGCTGAAGCAATACGTAACTTCCTTCAACGAGATTTGCAGAAAGTACTACTAAAGAAACACAGCGTAATGGTATTAAACGTTAAAAATTTTACCCGTTTGATCTTATTCGAAATCCACCTTGAAACATTTCCTCGCGATGTAAAATCAGCATAATCTCATCTGATCATCTTATTGTCCGATTGCGATAAAAAGCGTTTGCGCGTGAAATCGTCAACATTCGGGAGGCGTTAAGGATTTTACGCGAGTAATATAAAACGCGGCGTATCTGTGCGACGCATCTGCACCGAACGTATATTTCGCGCAAATTATATCGGTATCGACCCGGCAGCGCGGTTTCAGCAGATTTCGAGGCACGCACGTGCGCGCGCCCATGCAGCGCGTTCGTGTCGGCCGGCGAATAAAAACGCGCTAATATTTAACATATCAATATCGTACGCGCGATTTCGCCGTGCAGCGATGCGCGATTTCAAGCTATAAATTGAATTGAAACGCTGAACACGCGCGCGCATATTCTTTGAGATACGAGCGGTTCGTGCTTACAAGACATAATGAATTTCGTGGATCGCGCCAACATTAGGCGGCCGTAATCCAGCGTAAAAAGACGTCGTTTCTGGCCGACGGCGCTTCGTGTTTTGAGTCAATGGTATTTTCATGACAGGTCCTTCGTGCAACGGCATCCGCGATGAGTTACCGTCGATGTATTTCGAGGATTTAATTATTCCCGATGTCTCCCTCGTCCGCCGACGGCATATTAATCGTATGCTAATCAAAGATCGTTAATGTGTCCACGCTGAACACCGGCATGGATTTACCGGAATGCGATTTAAGGATCAACCATTCGGAAGAAGATGATAAAATCGTTCCGCCGATCGATTAGAGTCACGTTACTTTCGCCTAGGTGTTTTATTAACGCCGTCTAGTATTGACCGCGACATATATACCCACAACGCGAAAATAAATAATTTGCAAAGGGTAAATACCATTTCTCGCAAATTGCGGAATATTGCATCGGTAAATAAGGATCCGATAAAGAATTAATAAATCATTTTAATAAATGCCGCGCTTTTGTTTGAACTGCGTATAAAGCGGAAACCGAACGCGACCGTTACACGATTCTTGACTCGATATCGCTTGCCGAAAAATCGGAATATTTCGTCTCGAATCAATATACCGACACGTTATTGCGCGCGATATGCAGATGTGCGCGATACTGTAATATTCGAGACAGTATTATTGGTAAAAAGCGAGCACAGCAATATCTCCGAGAATTCTCCGGGATACAGCGTAAGACATTCTTTATACCTCCTCTATTGCCGGCTGTAATGTATATTATTGCGCTGTCTCCGTTTTTATTGCGTTACCTTCTGCCCCGCTGCCGGCAAGAGCGCGCAGTTGTTAAACGGTCGTTACTACGGCATCTCGATCCGATAAAAATCGCGATATTCGAGACGGCACCATCGTTGAATTTTTCTCGCGGCGTTTGCCTTTCGTTAAATCTGGCTCGCTTAAATACGCATACGGATGCGAGAAGCTCTTCGATCGAGCGGCATTCATTATGAAGCGGTTGCTTCACAGGCAAAAAGAGGACAACGTCAATTGTTTCCCGAAGGAATGGGACGCGAATAACGAAGCGAACACCGCGACCTACACGGCGATTTTCACCGCCGCATCGACCGTTTGATCTCCGATATTTCTCTCTCTCTCTCTCTCCTCTTCTCACTCGAGCAAACACGAGTCTAGATTTTCCGTTGATTTATAGGTAAACCGAAAATATTTGTTGCCGCTGCTCGTCATGCACCGAACGCGGAAAATGCAAACGTCGAGAAGCGTCAATTACGTAACTGTGACACGCGCGCATTGTCATGTGTGACTGCACTCTTTAGGATTATGGGTAAATATTTCGCAATTTGCGCATTGATTCCCGCTCTTTTCGTGTCTCGAATTAATCCTTCGAAAACCGGACAAAAATGTTTTCCTCTCACTTGAAATTTTTCGACGGGCCGCGAGTTGGACCGATCGTTGAAACCGTTAACGAGTTCTCCAGGAACTAAATAACTGCAGTTGCGCCGGTTAACTTTGCTACGTGATTACAGTACCGGCGTTTCGCTTGTATTACGTTGTAATTGCGGTGCGAGACGGCTAAGACACAGTTTTAAACGCTGTTTTTTCTCTTAACAAAATAAACCGTCTAAAACGTTCCTTTTTACAGTTTTCATCGATTATTTGTATTGCGTCAATTTTGTCGTTTCTTCGACGCAAGGCGAAAAACAAGAGACAGAAGTCTCTTGATTTGCTCAATATTTACATACGTGATATAGTATTTTTCAGCATCCGTGAGAGAAAAGTGCGAACACTGTGGTACGAAAACCTCTCCGACTCTTAACTCAATTTCGTCCAAATGTACGGCAACATGTTTCGCCTGACAACATTTTCGTGTCATTAAATTGAATTGTCGCAATAGCATTCTTCTTCTCTCGTTAATGCGTACTCGCGGGAAGTTTTCGCTCCGTTCTCACGCAAGGCAAAATCAACAATTCTACTCACAGTTTTTCCGCGATGAGCAGACTCGCCAGGTCGCCAGGAATTTGCGTGAGTCCGCGATGAGAACAGTCGATCTCCTGTCCGCCGCACGTGCACGCCCAGGGACACCTGACGCCGTTCAAATCGTCCATCGTACCTGACATACTGCCAAGACCGAAGCTACCGATCCCGGTGCCATGCGAGGCACCGCCACCGAGCACGGACAGTATGAGCAAAAGTCCCCAGGCGCAGACTACGGAGCCGCAGCTGACGCCGAGCAGCCGCAGCGACCAGGCCGGCGTCATGGCGCGCGCCATTGCCAGTACCTTGCGATTGATATCCTTCACAGCGCGATTCGGCCCGTCCAACAGTCTGGCGAAGCTGCCGGCGCGACTTTTCGGCAGAATATTGTCCGGATTGTGCAGAGCGAAGCAGTGCGGCTCACCGGCGGCGAATCGACCGATGCCCGTGTAACTGGGTCCGGCCGGTTCCAAGAAGGTGGATATCTCCTGGCCTTCGACGGGAGGGCAGCCGAGAATACGCACCGGTCGGAGTATCGGGTCCTGCTCCAGCCGAACGATGGCGTTCTCGAGATCGTAGGATCGCGGTTGCCGCTGTTCCGTTCTCGGCTTCCCTCTCGGACGGCGGTCGTGAACGCGGCAGGGCCGATTCCTCCGACAGGGTGGTTCCGCGTGAGCCCGCGTCGCCACGTGACAGGACACTCTGTGCCGGTGCGCCGCGCAGGTCCTTCTCACCGGTTGCTCGTCGTCGTCGTCGTCGACGTCGTCGGGCACGTTCGTCTTTCTCGAACGCTTCGAGCGCGCGTCGTCGCCGACCGATTGTAGCTCCAAGGCTGCGCCGGTGGGTCCCCCCCGCTTGCAATGAACCAAGACGTCGTGGTTGGTCGACACTATGACGCTCGACTTGAACACGGTCTTCTCATCGAGTCGTACGCGCTCGCCGACGGATCCCAGCCCGGTGCGATCCACCGCGGCCAGACCTGGGCTAGAAACGGGGCCCTGCGTCTCGATCTCTTCGCCCTCTCGCCGGCTGGGTCTCGTCGATGGCTGCTCCCAGGCTAGACCATCCAGCGGGCCCTTCGGGGGGCCGTTTCCCTGGCCCCCTTCCTCGCCGCTCGCTGGTCCTTCCAACGAGTTGTTATCGACCACTAACGGCACCACCCGTTCCTGCGCATCCTGGGGCACAGCTCCCACTGACTTTATCTTGATGCTGGTCTTCGGCCGAGGATCTACCGTACCCGAGAGTTGGGTACGTGACTGGTGCCGCGAAACGATTTTTTACCGATGCCTCGTGGTGTGTCGACAACCATTTACCGCTTCGCGCCGCTCGTGTTACGCTTCGGATCGATTCGGTGAGCTTTCACCAGTTGGGCGATAAATGCGCGATGGAGTTACAGCACGTTAGCTCGAGGATAAATGCTGATCGTCGATACTCTAACGACTGTTTCTTACACGGGCGTTATTAAATTCGTTCGACAGAATGGCTTGCTACGGGGTAGAGGCATCACCTGCAACAAGAGAATAGTAATTACTGCGTAATTATGGAGCCAGACACACTGTGCGATTATTCGTGCAGTTTTAACGTAAATTTTACGTTAACGCGCGACGTGAACGTCCTATCGCGATAAATAAACAGGAGGGAATGGAACTTTGCACAGTACATACTGTACGAACGGGGGGAAAAAGTCCTTTGTGAGGGCGCACATGGTGCACCTTGCACGGACCGGAGAAAGCGGAGATTCAATGGCGCGCGCGCGCAGTTATAAAGCGAGGAAACTCGCCGGTGCAATATCGGAAGTACGAGAAAAATATGCTTCCGAAGCACAATCAAGGGGCTCAGATGCATTCCATGCACGGCCGCCAGAATTTCGAGGCATATTGGAATTTTTCTCTGACATTTCCCGAGGTTCTTGCTTTCTTCCCCAACCGTCTACCTCCATCCTATCCTGCACATCCGACCGCACGCGGAGAAACGTGCCTCGAACACGCTTACGTGATGTCTCGTCTATATGTTATCACCGCGTAAGTGCCTCCTCTCCAGTGCGTTCCCGCAATTCATCTCTACCTGCGGACACCTGAAAATAGAATACGGCCCGCAGCAGCAGAGAGAAACGCGCTCCGATGGCGCCGCGGAGCTTTTAAAATTAGATACGTGGACGAAAGAAATCACTCGCTCGTAATAAATGTCTGTAGACGATACGATAGAGGAAGAAAGCGGCGATAATAAAGCGAGAGAGTTGAATTTAGAATCGAATAAATTTAGGACGAAATTCCGCCGGGAGTAACTATTCTCGAGGAGGAGATCGACAGGAGCGCTATGTGGCTTACATTATCCGTTAATTTGGAATTTATACATCGCGTCGTAGAAATGAAAAGAAGGAAGAGAAAAAGAGAAAAGGAGGAGTTTTCGCGCCACAGATTGATTTCGGTGCATCTTTCGTCGGCTAATACCGTCGTGCCAGCGGAAAGAAAAAGAAGCCATTGGCCTTCGTCGTACATTAAAATTCGCGGAAAATCTAATATTCGCTTCGAGTACGCGGACAGGGATCGATAATTCGATTAGCAGTAGTCGCTACCGTCTACGTTGGATGCTTCCATCCTCTTCGCCCCGTCTCACCCCTTCTTCGTTCCTCATCCTATCACTCAGCGTCGAGTACGGTTAAAGTAGCTGGCCCCGATAGGGTGTGTACACTACGCACGTATAATATTCTCGAGCACTTTCCCTACAGATAATATCGCCCCAGAAGCCTCTGATGTCGAAGTTAAGGTGGCAGGGGTGGCGCCAACCCGGTTTGAATGCGACACAAGCGGCGCGGTCGCTCTTGATGGATAGACGGACACGGGAGAGAAGAGAATTCCTTGTTCCCGCTGGCACGTCCTCGTCGCGGCTGTGCCGCATTAATTAACGTTGTTAGCGCATATTAATTGAAGCAAAGTAGCGCGTCGATAAATGGAGCCAGCAGGTTGAAATCTTTTTCTTGCGTCGCGCATCCTACGTGCGGACCCTCCGATGGCTCGCAAAGGTAACACGGACGAGCGTGCGATGTGATACGGCGAAAAATCAAGTTATGGAAATTTCATTTATTCGCGATGCGCGACAATCGATACCTAATGAGATTACGCTGTAGAGCACGCAACTACAACGCTGCAGAAGAGAAGAGCTAACTCTATTTTACTTAGAAAGCAAACGTGCGATTAAGCCCGAATTGACGAATGTCCGACAAGCTTACGTTCCGTATGTTGTGCTTGTAAATTGAGCGCTTGTGACTCGGCTGTAACGCGATTTAAAACGTGATTAGTCACGCGGCGCATCGAGAGCGGAATATAGCGGGGAGTTCTCGAGCGACCGTCTGTTTGCGAAACGCATTAATATGCTCCTAAAAATCGAAGACATACGTTAGCCGAATGCGCGTATGTCCCGCGAAGGGAGGGGGATCAATATTGACAAAAGTTCGGGGCTGTCGCGACCCTTCGGAGCGTCTGCTCTTGGAATACGTCGCGGTGTAAAACAAGAAAATAAGGTACGAAGCACATGCTACATCCTTTCTAAAGAAATTCAATGGATAAACATAATAATCCTACGGATATAGTGTGTACAATGTTATCTTCTCAAACGATTCGTGCTGTACAACGGGCGATATGTCTTACGAACAATTAAATTTATATTAAAATTCACAACTCTCGTAATGTGACGTTATACGACGGTCACACATGCTGCGCTTTGTTACCTATTGTTCGACGTGATGCTGATAAATGAAATTTATCACACTTTGCCGATTATTTAAAATTTTCCTCCCAGGTTAAAAATGATGCGAGAAATCTCACATCGAGTATAACTTTTGATCTAAAATTAAAATTTACTTAAGTTGAATTAGGCCGAAATTAGGTCGAGGAGACATCCGCTTTTAAAAGAATCAACTTTATTAATCTTTTACCAATAAACCTTCGCACAGTATGAGTCGATTCCGCGACGATCGATCGATTTCCAGTAACTGGGCGCTGTACATACATGGTTTGACCTACAAATGTTTCCTGCACTCTGTACAATGCGTTCAATCGCTACCTTTATTTGAATTAAAAAACACAAGTAAATAGAGTCAACAATAATACTAAGTTAATTGCGTTAAAATATTTCATCCTGACCGCTTGCCGTTCGTTTTTTCTTGTATTTTCGTTACTTGCAAACTGATAAACAACATAATGTCGATCAATTTAAGAGTATTTGATTAAAAACTGATTTTAGACCGTACTTATCAAGCTCGGTCGAAATAAAAAAAAAAATGCGTACTCTTCGCAGTACAGAAGAACAGTACTGAATTATAATATATATTGGAGAATTAAAAAGGGCTTATGCGTCTCGGTGTTTCCGAGAGATAGGAAGATCCTCTCTGTCCAAAGTGGGATTCTACGTTATTTACCGTTCGGAAACTCGTCCTTATTTCCACGGAACTTATGAGGTCTACAGGCAAAAGTGTACCCAATTTCCATTGAAATCGAAATATCGCGCAGCGCGATTGTATCGAAGACCCGCGTTCGTTCGACAAGTATTTCCCGTTCTACGGAGAAATGCACACATTTTTTAAAACGACGTACACGCCCGTGTTGCCTGCACGATACTTTGTATCGTCGGCTTTACGAGATCCCGTGCAGAAGTAGGGACGATATTACTTTGTCGCTTAGACATGACGAATGTATGATACGTACACATCTATGGAAGTAGCAGCAAATCCCTTTGAGAAAGAAAAGAGGGCGAGCGAATCAGACGACTCAGCCAATACAACCGACTCTGGAATATTACGTTTCTATTGAAATATATTTGTAAGCCACTTCGGAAGACAATTTCGTCTGAAAGATATGGATGTAGACAGGTGGATAGAGATATTCCTGCAGGGCGGATCGTTATAGCGCGAACGTGCGGAAGGGAACCGGCTATACGGTGCCGGTAGCTATATAAAGGAAAAAAAGGGAGAAGAGCTCGTTTATCCTAGGTATATCTGCTCACGGTTAGGATTGCTTTCTCCGCGGCTATTGTATGTAAGATTTTAATCGAAACTTCATGTATCGCGAGATTATGTCACGTCAGATTCTCGGTTATTCGATTTCGCTATTAGACGCCTCGCAGATTTGATTTGTATTCTTGCCTCCGGTAGCGACATTCTACTTTCCAGTACCTATTTCAGAAGAAACAAGCGTTTCTAGGGTAATGCGCTTGTGTGCGTGTTCCTTAAATATACCGATACCTGTCGGACGAGAATGAATACCTCAGGCGGATTAACGTGTCATCACTAATTCTTGACGCTTCCTAAGCAAATATTTGACACCCTTTTACCTGTTTTATACTATTCTTTGTTTCCAACGAGTTCATAAAGACTCGATGCCTGTCACTTTTATCACTATTCGATAACGTCGCGCGGACATTATCGTGAATGGCGCATACATACATCTTCACTTTCCTCAATATTTCCGCGTTCTATCCCTCGCGGGTTTTTCCAGTAGGCGGATCTGTGCCCTTCGAGCTGGAGAAATTCGACGACTTTTCGTGAAAAACCTCCCGGGCGCAGTTTGCTTTGGAACAGGAGATGTTTGGCTAACATGTGTGCCTAATGGTCCGTGCAAAATGGATTTTTAAGGTCTTTCTTTTAAGATGCGCGCACAAGTATCCGCCGTGGAAGGATGTCGCGAGACACCGTGCGATCAATCGGAAATCGATACTCACCATCGGCACCGTAACATTGTGCCGACAACATCGAAAAATAATCAAACGGCGACATCGATTGCCACGATATTTCCGCAGTATCCATTTAGTAGATGCTCCCCGAGGAAAGAAAGTGCACATTGCGCAACCATAACATGTTGTTTTGTAGAGGAAATATGGCTCACGTGTGAATTCATTCTTTCAGCACATACAATTGACAAATAACGACACACGATGCTGCTAAAATCAATTCCTAAATGTCCCCGAATGAAATCGCGCTCGACAGCATCGGGCAACTGAAATGACAGAAGAGGAACTGGCAAATCGTTGAGCGTTCCAAGAAAATGTCGATGATTGCGCCTATCTGGCGCTGAAATGTTTCCTGCAAAGCTATCTTTTTCACACACACACACACACACACACACACACACATCGGGGACTGTTTACGAGGATAATACACTCGAAAAATGTAAAAGTTGGTGTACAATGTGCGCTTGGTAAAAAGCTTGTATACCTTCTTAAACCTTTTACAGATCACAGTAAGAGAGTGAGAAAGAAGGACCCTCGGATATATTAGG